AGGAAGGAAGGAAGGAAGGAAGGAAGGAAGGAAGGAAGGAAGGAAGGAAGGAAGGAAGGAAGGAAGGAAGGAAGGAACTAGACAATTTCTGTCTACGTACGAGCGCCTTCTGTTCTAATTCTCTGTGACGGCATACTAGGTTCTCCTATGCCCAAAGTGTTTGTTGCTATAATCCGAAACTCATATTCCATCCACGGAATTAAATCAATCACTGTAGCGGACTCCATATTTCCTTCAATATCTGATGGTTCTAAAAGAAATTAAAAATTGCTTTAGAAAACAGCATTTTTGCAATAAGATCTGACAGTAATTTGGTTGATTTACACAAAATTGCTGCTAGTCTGCATTCACACAGAGCCAACAGGAGGAACATTACGTTATATGCAAGTGATACCACATTTATAAGGAGCACTCCTGGGAATTTGGAAACTGTGACACGATCTTGGATAAACCTTTACCAGCCTGTAAGTTTTAACTAGCAACAGAAATACATTTAATTAGGATATGTGCTTGTAGAATAATTGGAGAACTTCATTTTACCACTGGACAAATGCAAGGAGAAATCTGGAATGCAAATAAAATAAAAATTATTGATATAGCCAAGGGGTAGACATGCCTAAATTAAAGGATCCATCATAAGCAGATAAAGAGCGGGTTATAAACTGTAGTCAGATTTTGGTGCACCTTATTAGTGGCAGGATACGACTAGCTATCTAGCACTTACCAGTGAGGATAAGTGAGGATAAGTCTAACAATCCATGCTAAAAACATTTATTATTCCTAAAAGGGTGAGCTTCCTCACAATAAGTGAAATGCCTAACTCCTGGGTCTCTTTCTGTCTATAGCTCACCAACTGGAGAGGTTGTTAGTCTGCAGCTGTAGGAGGATGAAGGTTTTTGGTTCCTTTAGTGAGCCAAGAGCTGTTTGTCAAATAAGAATCTGGGTTCAGAGGGAGATGGGAAGTGACATATTCTGTGCTGGGAAAGCAGCTAATTTGGAATTAGAATATGAGTGAATTGGCTGCAAGAAAAAAAAAAGGAATATCAGAGTAAACATTAGATTGTGAGAGCTCTCCCTTCTCTAATCAAATTTGTCATTCCAAACTGAGGTACTGCAGAACAAAGAGAAGCAAACTCCATTTGCCTTCTGTCTGCCCACCAACCTCCTTTATCCTCACTCCAATTATTTTTCTATCCTGTTAATAAAGCATGCTGATCTTCCATGGTATCCAAGACATGATATAAATTTGTCATTCCTTTTTCTGGATTGCTTTTAAGTTCTTAATTTAATCTTACTGCATCATGTTCTCAAAATAATCATGAATGATCAACATTGCGAAAATTAATCCTATCAAAATGCTCTGGTCTTCTTAACTGGAAAGAGCAATATGAATGTAAACAACTTATATAACTTATTTACACATATTTTCACATTGTGAAGTAGAACACACTTCTTTCATAAAGTATACTTGATATTACCCAACTGGAAAGGAAGGCTTTGGTTTGGGAAAAACAGTGATAGTAATAACAATAATAATTCAGAAATGCAATGCCAAAATGTTTTGTTGAATGCATTGAAAATTAAAATCATTACATGATAGCCTTAGTGCTGATGAGAGATCGGTTTGTCCTTCTCATCATGCTTCTTTCATATGACAATGAACACCAAGCCAAACTAATAGGAGCCCCGAAATGAAGTAAACACTGGGTTGTTTCAACTTTTCAGAAATGAAGCATTTCTGTATTTCTCACTAGCTTCTTAGAACAGGAGTTTGACAATCTAGATTCCTCCCCTGTCTCACTCCGCATGGTGAGATGGTTTCAGACATCTGCTCCAAACCAGGGGATCTGAAACCAGCTCTCATTTCTCTTACACATATATTTGGAGTTCCAGAACCAGAGAGCAAAAGAGGAGGTAATATCAGAGCTATTCTAGAAGAGAAATATGATTTAAGGTAATAGGCCTAAAATTTTCAACTTTTTATGTCCAAAAATTCTTCCTGATGAGATTTTGGGATCAATATGTCAAACTATTTCTTCAACATCTAACTCTGTAGTTTCACAAGACAATATAAATGAAAAAAAATAGCTGAAACTATTCTTATTCTTAATATTAAGAAATGATGAGTAGGTGATACTCTAATTCCACAGCAAGGGACCTTAGTTATAATTTACTACAGTGACATAATGAATCATATTTATATGACAGCTCTGTACTGCACGTAGCAATGCTTCAACTCTCCTGTGTGTGGAAGAACTATTCTCCCAGAGTCCACGTAGCTTTCTTCTTGGGCCAAAATTCTGTCTATAAATAGATTTTATTGTTTCCATGATGCAGATGGTATCATAGATATGCAAAGAGAATATGATAGAAATATGCTTCTTCAAACCAGTTGTAGGAGGGCTTGTAATAAAACTTTACACAGTTAGAAGTCCAAAAGAAGCAGTGAAATGCAAAAGCTTTTTATGTCTTAACAAGGTTAGGACTATAACTGGGTGTACCATACTTGAAAATGTTTACAACTACTGCCTCTCAGGTTTCAGAAACCAGTGTTTGATGTAAGCTGTAAGATAATGGAAAGAGCACAAAAGTTTGTTCTTCAATTATTGTAATAGTATTTTTAAAATATTTTCATATATATATATCTATATAACAAAGATATGATAACTTTTACAAAGATATATTCTATATTATCAGGCTGTGTGTTCAGATAGGTGCCTTTTCAGCTGCATTTATGTGGCACAATGATGACATCCAGTGGTTACAAGAATACTCTTAGCTGTTTTTTCTAGGAATGCCAGATCTGATGCAACTGGAATTTACTCTTCTCACAGGAAACATTAGACAATTTTGACTAACTTTCAGCATAATAAATACATAAATGAGGGTATCTGTTTGTCATAAAATTATCCTCCAAATTTTTTTATGATTCCTGTAGCTGATGTGACATTTTTATACAGCAAGAGAAGACGTAAAACAGGAGGAAAAAAATACATACATTTCAGGCATTCCTAGTCAACAAACAAAACAAGAATAAACCTGCAAATCCTGTGGCCAACATTTATAGCATCCTCGGTTTCCTTTTCCTTTTATTGCAACTATTTTCTGATTAGCCACGTTTTCTAACAGCCAAGCTCTTTACAACCTATGAATTTATTATTTCTCACATTACTTTTACTTGGCATTACTCTTACCTGTTTTAGCATCTTTCCACTCTTCAGATAGAAAAGTTTTTGACTGGATAGTGTACTTAGAAATAGGGCTGTGATTGTCTGTTCCACGACTCCAGGTAAGTGCTACAGCAGTGTCTCTAATTTCTTCTACTCTGATACCACCAGGAGGGCCTGGAGGACCTGAGAAAAAAGAATTATTTCAATTCACAAATATTGCAAAAATAAGGTTGTATTGATCAGCTATGGCATTTTCCAGTCTCACTTTTTGTTTAGGAACAGATTAGACAAATAAAATTTGTTTTTAATATTCTTCAGTGTGATAGCATAGCTCCTGCTTTAGAAATAATACTGGGATTTCTTCAGTAAAAAAAAAGGGGACGGGGATACTTCTAGTTATTACTGATCTTTTCTGAAAAGCCTGTGAACTCAGAAAATAAAATCATAGGAGAAAGAAAAAGGGAGGAAGTCAGGAAGTCACTAATTTCTGTGACATTATTAGGCAAAGGCACTAAATAGGAACAGAGCTCTTAATGTTTTTCAGTAACGTGTAGTTCCAGGCACAGATACAAAGGGAGGCCAAAGGCAGGCCATTAAATAAATGAGGCATTAAGTGTAGCACCTCTAGAACACGAGAGGAGATGGGCAATGGTTCTTCGGACTGTAATTCCATTCAAATCCCCAAAGCAATATCTCCATTAAAATCAGTTCTGTGAAATACTCTATTTATTTCTTTTGTGCACAAAAAAAAAGTGCCTGAAAAGTTTTGTAATTCTTTAATCACCTGGAATATGCATCTTTTCAGAGCATAATGACAAAAAGCTGGTCCTTATTAAATTAAGTTCACTCATATTCATTAAGTGCAAAAATACTGAAGTTACACATCCTCAGATGACAGACATTCAGAGTCAGGATGCTGCTATATAACAGGGATGTGGGGAAAAACACAACAGCAATGCAGCCTCAAGTACATATTATGTCTGCTTAGAACTGCCAACAGCACAGAGCATTTGCACTTCAGAACATGCTCTACCTGGAGGCAAAAAAAAAGGAGTAAAATGCTCCAAGCACACAAACTAACTCACCTTGTTGAAACCAGACATTGTGACATATCTTGGAGAATATATATCATATGAACAAGCAGAAGTTAAGAATGTTTGGAGTCCATGCTGCCATTCCACTGCCATTTCTGTCATTTGAAAACTCAGATCCTTATAACATAGGCTTAGTTTAATAAACATTTATATTTAATCAATAAAGCATTACAGAAAATTCAAAGTGACTGCTTAAAAATATTTTGCAATTGATAAACCAAACGATCTTTAAAGTCATTTTGTTGTATAATAATGGAGAGCAGCTTAAACCATCTAAGAATTATTCCAGCACCAGGAAGACAGACATAATACAAATTCTTTATTATTTTTCATGAAAGCACATGCTCATTTAGATATCTAAGTATGTGGAATAAAATCAGCATCCTGAGAAGACTGCAAGGATTTCATTTGTTAATTCTCTTTTCTTTGTAATCTCTGCCATTTCTTGATGAGGAATAAAATATTCTAAACAACAAGAAACCCTCTGCTTATCTAGATGAAAAACAGTGATGTTGGGCTTCTACCTGGAAAAACTTACCTCTTACAACAAGGTCAGCTGAAGCCGAAGAATTGTCAACGATGGTCTGTGCGGTGCACGTGTATCTCCCAGCGTGCCGCAGCTGAACGTTTTTAATGAGCAGTTCACCGTTGGATTTAATCTGTTACAGAAATAGCATTTAATGACACTAGCAATCATCCCCATATATCTTTGTGATATCTATCTACACATACATCCCAAATGATATACAGTGGTTGCTATTTCTACAAAGCAAGTGCTTTCTTTGAGAACAGATCACCCCCAGAGATATATGTGATTTGTATGACAGTTGTGGGAAGTGGCTTGTGCTTGTGGAAGAGCTGCTGCTTTTTGCCAGATATCTTAAAAATAAAAATACTTTTTTTTTTCACAAGCCGAAATTACTATTTCAATGGTTCGAAGCACATTTCTGAACATTTGATTAATTTTTTTTTGCAAATGGTAGTCAAATGGTTTCTCTATAATATTTGCTTTTCTGTGCACATTTCTATTATAACCATTTCATGGAGTTCTGCTAAAGGACCAGAATGCTGTTTTGCTTTTTCCTTTACAAACCTAGAACAGTAAGAAGCCTTGTATCATAGAGATATTACAGTCAAAGCCAAAATAAACACCAAATGAAAGACACTAAGATAGTATACACAACATTAAAAGACGGAACCCACACAGAAACAATAAAGATCAACATATGATCCAGTTTCTTAAGGAAAAGACTAGATTCTGTCCTGCGAAACAGTGCTGGCAAGGAAAAGAATAATTGCAGTAAATGTAATGACATGCACTAGTCAAACATACTGACTCACAACCTGTTCTCAGATTACTAATGTTTTGGTAAATGAAGAAGCCTGCAAAGAAGGCTGAAGGAGGGTGATGAAGCATGTTTGCAATGGCTTGTACAACATTGGAGAAAAGCGTGAAGGTGCTTGCTTGAAGAGCACATACGAGAACTGGCGTGTGAGGGCCCGGCAAGCATCCCCCTCCTGGCCATTTGGCTGCTGGGGTTCAGGGCATTCATCTCCAAATCAGCACACCTGGGAGACGCCCCTTCATTTGATGACTCTGGACAGATGACAGATCTCTCCTACTGGGGAGCTGCTTTTAAGCCAACCCTTTACTCTGTGTCACAGCCACAGCCATGGGCCCCTAGCTGCACTATCTGCAGCTACCTCTGGCCATAACCATATGCAAACTGAGTACAACATTATTCTACTATGACACTTCTGCAAATCCATTGACAAGATGTAAAATTGTAAAACAGAGAGCAGAACACAGAGCACTACATATACCATCGTGATTCTTAATGAAAAATATCTTTATATAAAGAAATACATTTATACAACTGCTTAAAAATAACACATTTGAAATGTTTTATTTATTCTGAAGTTTATTTATTCTGAAGTTTATTCCAAGGCTCATTCTAAGCCTCAGAGCTATACATGTGTTAGCTTTTAAGGTAGTTTAAAAAATATAATCATTCACCCTTTCGAATATATGACTGCTTTTGTGAAAGTCAAAAATTTCAAAACATTAACAAAAGGATGAATCAATATCACACTACAAAGAAAGAGCAACATTCACATTTCCTAACTTTCTCCACTTCGTTCTGAAACTTCATTTTGTATAAAAAAGCCAACACTGAAATAGCCTTTTGCAATCCTCAAACCTTCACAAGAAGGAATAGAGAAAATTCAGATGAAAAATAACGTATGAAAGAAAACTTAATGATTTTTTGGTGTAAGAACTAGTGTTTTCATCACTGGAAGGATCTCCAGAACAATACCAACCTTCAATACAGTATAAAATACTACAAGATGCCATTGATGTTGCTAACCTTAGACATTTTAAAAGAGTGAACAAGAATTTGGTTTATCTTCCTCATTGAAAATGAGGGGAAAAACAAAGGTGAAGTTGAAATCTTTTTCAAATATTCTAAAAAAAAAAAAGCTATAAAAGCTAGATTGCAGTTGCAAGTGTCTATTATTTGAAGGGCGATTAAAAGAATCAGATGAAACCATCCTTGTCTTTTCTACGCTCTGGTCTGGATTTTGGGTACCAATTGTCAAATGTTGTGGAAATAAACTTTCAGCAGAAAATGAAATCTATTAAAACTAATATTTTGCACTAACATCAGAATTCACCTCTTTTAAAAAATTTCTGATATAAAGAGTTGACTAGATAAAAGCTAGAACTGAGTGCATATGGAAAGACTTCTCAATTCCGGCTAGCAAGACTTCATCTGGTTGCCAAGTAAAATATCATGGACAGAGGCGGGGTATCCGCAACCAAAGGCTTGTGACACAAGTGCAGCCACCAGACAGACTAGTTGCATCCGTGATAAATCCAGTATATGGATCCTAGTTTTCTTCATATATTTCTGGAACATGTTTCTCTTTTAATTATTGCTATGTCCCCACTAAGGGGACTTGCTAACAAGTATTAGCATGTTGCATTCAAAGCAAGTATGAGAGGCCTTTTGGTTTAATTTGCCAAAGTGAAAGTAGGATACAGACACGAGGTGAGTCTGGAATAGCAGCATTTACTTTTTGTTGCATTTTATTGATTCATGAGAATTCCACTGGTATTGCCCTTGAGGTCACCATCCTTTGAAAATCTATGTGGATTACTACATAAAAGAATACTGGCTGGCTGACAGACTAACCACATTTAAACTCTTTTTGTCTGTAACGAGCAAAGCAATGCTATCAAAAGTGTTCAGTAAGGAAAATCAGGTCAGTACTTCAGTTGGAGTAGGGCAAATACCTGCTGCTCCTCAACAACAACAACAACGACAACAAAGAAAAACAACAAAGAACCTGCAGAAGTTCAAATCCCTGGAATTTCCAGTTCCTGGGTTTTCAGTTTGTTTTTCATCTAATGAAAGCAAGAACCGGTTCTCTAGCACTCTGTATAAACCTTTACTTTATTAGCACTAATTGCCATGCTAGAAAAAGCTATAATGTCTGTGAATCTCTGAATATTGCTTGCAATTTGATCTCCAATTAAACATAAACAGGGTTGGTCCAAACTAATAAAGTCTGGAAAATCTGCATAGTTAAGAATTCTTATGATCATATTATTACTTCAATACAAATGATTTACAAAATCTTAATAGTCTTCGTAGTCATTAATTCGTCTTTTAGCACTTAAATTAAAACACTTCATTATATTTATTAAAATCACGTGCCCTTACAGTTGCTAACATTAATTTCTTGTATGGAAATTTGGTTCAGAAAATCTAAATGATGAAAAACAGATGCAAAAATGAATCAACGACCCAAAGACACAGTATTGTATTCTGTTGGTTTCGAAGCCCTCCTGGGCCAAGGTTTTATGCAGTTCCATACTTCATAAAAAGCTTAGGTTCTTGGTGGCAAAAGAGCTTACGAAGCACATAAAGACCATGGGCATCAGCAGATTCTGTCCACAAATTAGATATGAAAGCACTGTATGCTTTCATTTAAAAACCTCAGCCTGGCTGAGTTAAAAAATGCCTTCCTTGATACAGAGAAAAATGAATCACAGACTGGAAATTGTGATAGAAGTATTCATGGATGTTCCAAGTGTATCTGTGGTTCACCACTCAGCTATTTACCAAGCTTAAAGCTGAGACTTTCATCATACGAAACCTATATTTAGGCTCTAACAGTGATGTCAAAAATAGCATTGCATGGTCTATTTATGAGATCTCTTCTCTTTGGACAGTCACCTTTGCCAGTGCATTACGCTACTAAAAGCCATCAGAAAACTGTCTCTAGGTGATTGAAAATCACCCACAGGTCTCCTGTCGGAACCTCAGAGACAGTGAAGGACCTTATATTAGCATGCAGCTAACAAGCCCTTTTTACTAATAGAGCCAACTTGGTAGAAATCAGTTCTATGGTCTGCATCCTAGTCACAGAAGAACTTATCTCACATTGTTTCATAAACCATAGCTGGCATAAAAGCTGTGGGTAAATAAAAACAAAAGAAAAAAAACAGCAGGCTAATGAAGAGTCATTCCCTCATTCCCACTGAAGAATCTCTTCCTTCGGTGACCCATATTTATATGTAAAGGAAGGATGGTGCTAAATCGACCTCTGAAATATGGACTAGGAATATTTCCAACCAATATATTATTCTCCCCTGTTTATCATTCCACTGCGAGTGCCTTGGGACACTATGCTGGGTACCAGCAACCCTGTGGTAACATGCCTTGTTACTTCACTTCCATGAGCAAAAAGAGCTTAGATATTTGTTCGCTTGTACTTGTGGCTCACACTGCTATGGCCGATCATGAAAATTCCCAATAAACTACAAACTACAAGCTGGGCATGGTACATGGATTCTGGCAGTTTGTGGTATCTCATAAGCACATACAGTTACAGTGCACTGATTTTTAAGAGTATTTTTTTTCTTTCTGGCACAGTAGCTGGCATATGTCTTATTTCCTCTAAATAGATGACATTTCATTGTGCTGGAAATAGCACTGTGGATTAATAATAGGTTTCCTCAATGACACTGCAGAGCTAACTGCTTGTTGGCTTCACTCTCAGCACTACCTCTTCTGCTTTCCTTTCCCTGCTTGCTTTTAACCACTGTCTCCAGTTTTCTCATTCCACACTCACTATGTTAACACTAGGCTTTTTCCTCCAAACTTTACCCCAAACCTAGCAAAAATACGTGACTCATTCATGTCTGGAGCGTCCCCCTAATAGGTTAAGGCACTGAAATAAACTTCTTGAGACCTCGGGAGAGTTTTGGGACTCTTCTTCCGATAAAAACAGTGGCTCAGCTGATCTAGTTGGCCATGCTTTGTGAGTGGTGACCTGCCCCCAGCAAACGATGCTGAATGAGCTCACTATGCCCTTGGCTCTGAGGTTTTGTGCCACCCATACAGCCTCTTCTTCCCTTGCATGGGTAACTGAGCTTTGCTATGTAAATAGCCTTTTTCCTTCTTCTTCAGTTCCTCTCCTACACCTTCCATCGGTTTGTCTATCATACAACTGTCACATAACAGCTCTATTTCCTGTCATGAGAGTCATATTTCCTGTCATATAACAGCCATACTCTGTAAGAAGGGTTACCAGGAAAGTGGTTAAGGAAAATTAAAATGAAAAGTTTTTCTGCTACAGAAAGCTGCGA